CACACACACACACACCAGCACGTGTTCACTGTAGATGATCCGGCCCACTTTCGTAGCCAATGATCATCTTCCTCTTTCTCCCTCACACACCAGCAAACGAACATGCGATCACTTTCACACRCGYGGCRCAYGATCAGTATCAGATCCACAACGCATGACAAACGCACGAGCAAGTCACCATGCAACAATACACGATGAGTTCGACAACACACGCCACGCCAAACACGCAAGTCGATGCAGTGACAACCCGGGAAAAGCATCGCGGCAACGTTAAAGCAGTGGGCGGGAACACAAAAAGTCGGCCGTCAGACAAAACACCGTGAAAACATGAACTCGCTGCAGCCTCGAACGCGCTCCCTTCCAGGCGGCCCAAAAAAAAAAAAAACAACACAGCCTACAGCCTCGAACCCGCGACCCGGCCCAGACCCGACAATAAAACACCCGACCGAAAAAAAACGTCTGTCCCATCCAACCGCCGTGCGGGACTCCTTTTCCCTGGGGCCAGGGGAAGCGTCTTCCGAGGACCGCTTTTCCCTTTAAGTATTAGTAGAAACACACACATCGCCGTGTCGTCTGTGTGTTGTTTTGTCCGTCCCCGACCAGTAACAGTGCACCTGGAGCTGTTTTGGCAGAACCGAAGCACCCCCTGCGCGCCGGAACTTGCCACAGCGCCAGCGCAGCGTTTTTTTTTTTGATTTGGCAGGTGGCGGCGGGAATTTCGATCCGGTTGCCCCGAGCCCCGAAAAGCCCCAAAATTTCCGGGGGTGGCGACGAGTTTCTTTTCTTCAAGGCTGGGGCTGTGTACAAACACTCACCAAATAACACATGACACTCTAAGGGCTTACTCACACTGGCACTTTCCTGAATGTATCTGCAATTACGGATGGAAGCGGATAAATCTGTCTGCAACTGCGTCCAGAGCTTAGTAGAAAAAGTCCTACTGTGAGTATGCCCATAGAAAAAGTCCACTGTGAGTACGCCCTAAGAGACAGGCCCTCAATAACATCCCTTGAAGACAAGTTCTCTCTCTAAAACATCATGGACTTGCGGTCATCATCCCACGACAGGATGTCTGGCATGCTGTTGTCGAGGGACACAGCGCATGTATCAACACATTTACGACGCAATCTGTGAAAGATGGGCTGACAATAAGAGAATGCAACCTCAACTTTAGGGTTTAGTGTTTAGGGTTCGGAGTTTGGGGTTAAGGGTTCAGGGTTCAGGGTTTAGGGTTTGGGGTCAAGGGTTAAGGGTTTTGGGTTTAGGGTGTAGGGTGTAGGGTGTAGGGTGTAGGGTTTAGGGTTTAGGGTTTAGGGTGTAGGGTTTAGGGTGTAGGGTTTAGGGTTTAGGGTGTAGGGTGTAGGGTGTAGGGTTTAGGCGCCAACAAGAAGACAAAAATTTGGAACAAGTTTACGCCCTGGTTAGCTTAGGGTTTAGGGTTTGGGGGCAAGGGTCACAGGTTTTCGGTTTAGAGTTTAGGGTTTAGGCACCAGCAAGAACGCTAACATTTGGAACAAGTTTACGCCCTGGTTAGCTTTCCTTAAACCACTAGTACCTCCGAGCCTGTTTTTGCCGACCCTGAATTTCACTGCGCTCCGAGTTCGCCGAGCCTGGGTCCCACTCCATTTCTTTATGGTACTCTCATGGAGAGAAAAAAGAAAAAAGAAAAAAAAAAAAAAAAAGAGAAGTTGCGGCCGTGAAACTTACAAAAAAAGAAAAGGAGACAATGCTCAGTGAGGGCATCTCAGCCCCGTGGCCAGGTTGTCAGATTCCCAAAAAAAAAAAAAAAAAAAAAAAAAAAAA